AGTCGGGTCCAATCCTGATCCCTGAATGGCATCCCATCATTCTTAAAAGTCCATTGATGAACCTGTGAACAATGGCTTTGAGGATTATGCATATATGAGCACTATCGCAACCATACCACGGAGGTCTTGAGATCAGGAAGTTTGTCGGAGCTGTCCTTGAGCAACAGTGTATCATCCTGTGGCGCCGTCTTGTCCTGAGAGAGATGTGGTTGTGTTTCAAAGCGAATCTCTGCTGCTTTTGCACTGGCATCGTCTGAGTTCTGGAGCAGTTCTCGAAAGACTATATGATGGTCACGAGAAACGATGGTTTGCGAGGCTCACTACCGTCGCAGAACGGAGAGTTACTACGTACCTGTAAATTCCCCAGAGTACCTCGCAAGTACTTTGTCTATAAGTGCTCGCTGGTTCACCTCCACGGACTCATCCTGTCCGCTCGCCCACTAAACGAGCCAGGTCGTCAGAGTGGGATTCCACCGGAGATTCTAAGACTCACCAGCGCATCGCGGACGTTAGCCATTATGTTATTATGACGAATGCACGCAGATGAACTTGCGGTAGCTACTCGCTTTCAGCGCTCGGCAGAGGCGGTACTAGTGCACGACCGTGATGCCTGGTCGACAGGTGAATTATGACAAAGCGGCAATCGTAAAGGAGAAACAGGCACGGAAAGACTGTGAGGTTGGTGGTAATAGTTGGCGGTCAAGTTGTTCGCTGCGGAGCCTCGCCTCAGACGACGACTAGCGTGGTCTGAGGAGTGCAAGGCTACCGCTCAAGCGCTTCACCTTGCCGCGACGTCGACGCGTGCCTCATGTGATTCTGCTCTCAGAACATAGAAATTGTAGAAATTGGATGAGGAACAACTAAAATTGAGGTATAATTTGGGAAACAACAAAAGGCAAGCCATTACACTATGAGACATCAGATTTCGAGTCCTGATAGCAGATAAATATCCTGTAAACCATCATTACTAAATTTCCTCTAAGTTGGTCGGAGTCATGCGAGAGTCATGAGAAAAGGTATTGCAAGCACTTGAAAAAGCCCAAGAGGCATCCGCCAGAGATGATCGGTAGGGTGAGATTGTCATCTAATGAGCCCAAATCTAAATGCGAACATCAGCTCACGTCGCGTCGTTAGCCAAAAGCTGAGAGTATCTACTCACCAAGAGCTTCCGAGACACCAGAAACTAGCCCAGTTACTAAACTGACCACACTAAGGCCTACCCAACCACCGAGGACACCGGTTCCAGCAACGCCCCCTCCGAGCGTCCAAGTCGGATCTATATTGCCCACCGGCCCAATCCACCCCCAGAAACCAGCAGCTACGAGAGCACCAGTCACTGTGCCGGCTATGAAACCGGCCATAGATTTACGCGGGGCAAAGGGAAGTCCCAAAAGGGGGACACGAGGTGGCAGTGGCGGTGTAAGACGACCCCACAGGCGGCCAAAAGTGGATGCAGCAGTATCAACCCACGATAAGCTGAAAGGGAAGCACAACAATGTAAGTAGTATATACATACCAAAAGAAATCGGATACGCACATGAGGATGGATACAACAGCGATATCAATGGGATATAGGGACAGCACCCATATCACACCTATTATATACCAAACCACACCATTCGCCGTTTTCTGTGAGACAAGAATGAGAATACACCAAGCAAGATAGAACAAATGACATACCTTCTCACTTTCCCGCATTAGAAAACCCAAACATTTCTCATAGGCGCGTTCGAAACCAGGGGAGTTTAGGCGTAGGATATCAGCAGGGGCTATTATAGCAAGGGCACTACCGAGGGCAACGACAACAGGCCGTGGCGACCCGTGGGATATATAGAGATACAGAGTAAGAAAGCCTGTGCAGTTGACTTTTGAGGATCCTGTGACAGCGAAAAGAAAAGTTTGACTGACCGATGGAAGAATGAAGAAGCTTTCTTGGGATCTCCCAATCTATAGGGACGACAACTGGGGGCTTTGGACGATGCCCTGTATTCGATTTGGACGTCTTGCGTGTCAGCGCACCTCTATCAGTACGCGACGGGATGCGGGCTTGGGAAGGGGTTTCATGTTGTGGATGATGTCCGCCCTCGCTGCCATTGCTCATTGACCGCCGTGGCCTCGAAGGCTTCCGGGAGAGGGTATGCGGCGGAGGAGATCGGGTACGGGTAGAGACGAAGGGAATCTTGGGAGATGTTGAGCGGAGTGACAGGGAGTATGCGGGTCGTGAAGGGTCGTGTGAGCCAGTGAGGCCAAAAGAAAACGCGTCGTTCGCTGGCAAGGTCATTATAAAATGTACACTATACGATTCGGTCGTCGTGGTAGTCTAATTCGGAGGGTGGCACATAGGCTCCAGAGTTGGGGGTGAGGAGAGCGAGACAGGCGACGTGTTCAAGTTGCAATTTGGGGAAATCACCAGCTAGTGCAGACTAGCGCCCGCAAGGCCACGACCTCCGGCACCGGCCCTTTTCAATCTCAAATTGTGCAGTACGCTTGTAGAGACATTGCTCAATAATGCATTCAACGACGTACAACATAGCAAACTCATAGCAATGGCACAGACGATATACATGTAAGACGTGCATAGACAGCATCTATGACTCGCGCTAGGCATTTTCATGTCCAGACATCATGAGCGATGCTCGACAAGTATAACAAGGTACTGATAAACTAGTAAACGTAGCCCAAGAGCTTGCCACCAACGTTCTTACGACGAGCTTCCTCGTGGTCCAAGATACCAGAGGAGGTCGTCTGGAGGGATACGTTAAATGATTGTCGGAAAATAAATGGAACGTGACATACAAGGATGATGATGCCGAACGAACGTGCAGGGAGCAGCAAGTTGACCCAGTTTTCAATCTGTGTGACCTGCACGTTGTAGCGGGGAGAAATCACACCAGTCTTGTTCAGACGACCGTTGAGTTGTACGACAATCTTTCCAGATCGGTGATCGTCGACAATTTCGAACTCGCCAATGTAGCCTGTATCAATCCACTCCGTCAGTAAACTTGTTACAAGATGGGGTTAATGCAGTGATGTAAGCTCCGCAGTGAACGTAAATCCTGAACATGTGGGGATATGCGTTATAATGGTTTGAGAGTTCGAACGTCAATATACCGGAGCGTTAAAACGAGCGGGAGGTGGAAGCACTACCCTCGCCTATCGTAGTTATCACTCCGAAACCGGGCTGAAGCAAGAAAATTGAATTTCAAACTTATGAGAATTCACTCACCATGACGCTGCATCACACTGAGGAACTTGACGATGACCTTGGATGAAGGTCGGATGAGGACCTGGCGCTTGCCACGGCGCTCAGCATTGACAATGTTGTTCTGTCTTTGCCATCAGCAAAAGTCTCAGTAACAACTAGCTCAAAATACACACCAGGCAATCGTTCTAATGCGCCAAACACATTTATTTAGTTGAGTTCTGAATCAATGCTGAGATGTGACAAATGGACGTACCAAGACAGAGACGCGGACCATGGCGACGGATTGTAAAGAGAGGACTTGAGTAGGGGACTATGGAGCGAAAGGTCTCTGGTAAGTATACCTTGACTCGTCTGAGTGTCGTGCTATGAAAAGCACGAGTCAAGACGAGCTACGACCCACCTTGCGTGGGTGTCTTGAGGGGTGGGGGACGGCGGGAACGGCGACGACGACTAAAGCAGCACGGGCGCGTAATGTTGCTAAATGCCGGTGGCTGAGACTGATTGTAGCTGTATAGTACCAATCAGCCACCGGCACCTGCCGAATTTGGTCATTTGCCGCCTTCACCGCCCGCAGCGACCAGCAAGCCCATCGTCAAGTCTCGCCGCCGACACTCCTCAAATCCATCATGGCAAGTCGGAGCTATGCCGTTATTTTGAATGTCCAATTTCTGAGCTTGTTATGATGAATTTAGGGTCGCGTTCGTACCAAGACTACTAAGAGGGCTTCCCGCGTGCTCATCGAAAAATAGTGAGTAATATATCATTATGGAGGAATAAAGGAAAGAGCGGGAATGGATTTGGGAGGAGCGAGGGAGGGAGGAGCGAAGGATTCAAGGACTGGTGAATATGGGTGAAATGCTGATCGTACGTTCCAGCTACCCCCGCCTCACCCTCGACTTCCACACCAACAAGCGTATCATCGATGAAGTCGTGCGTTAGCTTGCTACTTCAGGGAGAGCCAAATATCTGACATTTTTGGCCTGTCTGTAGGCTGTCGTTCCCTCAAAACGCCTCCGCAACAAGATTGCTGGTTTCACGACCCACTTGATGAAGCGTATCCAGAAGGGACCTGTCCGTGGTATCTCCTTCAAGCTGCAGGAGGAGGAGCGTGAGAGGAAGGACAACTATGTCCCCGAGGTCTCCGCGCTTGACACCAGTGTCTCCGGTCTTGAGGTTGATCCCGACACTAAGGTGCGTTTTTGGTCTGATTTCTGCCTGCTGTGATTTACACTTTCCCTCTTCAGGATCTTCTCCACGCATTGAACTTCGACTCTGTCCAAGTCAACGTTGTCCAGCCTGTTGTTGCTGTTCCAGAGCGTGGACCTCGCCGTGACCGACGGAACGTGCCCGGTGCCGGCCGCTCGTAAATGGTTGTCATTGGTAGTCTATGCTTATGACCACTCCATGTATCGCTTTTTTTGCCCACCCAAAATCTTTGGAGATCACCTTCCGAATCGTGACATGGATCATATGTACACCCCTATCGGGTTTGGCCGTGGCAGACCGAGTTTTGTGCTTCTCTACCAGTAGAGAATACAAAAGTTCATCTTGTGCAGTGTCTTAGGACGCTGCGCACGTGTAATATCAGAGCTGATAATGTCTCGAGCAACTGAAGACAGAATATGCAACTAGAGCTACCATGCTCGCTGTGTGGTGTGCGCCTCCGTCAGATCTCTACTGTGTAATAGTGTGTAATTAGGTCAGAATAAGCTTTAAGTGCATGTCCGCTGTCCACACTGGCCATCGCGAAACCGTAAACGGTAAACCTCCATAGCTCTATCACGAAGACAAAAAGGGGCCCAACCGGGATTCGAACCCGGGATCCCTTGCAATCGGAGGCACCCAAAGCAAGTATCTTGCCTCTAGACCATTGAGCCGCTATCGAAGTCTCCAACGAGCTTGATGTATCGCCTCATTGAATACTCCAGAGACGGTATTTGGATACAACACTGTAATACACTTCCGAGTCATGGTATTGCGTAGGGATTTATCGCGTGCATGCAACTGAATATAAATACAGTGGATGTGGGATATTGATACATCGATGACTACGGGCGAGAGTGTGGTCCGTTGTCCGTCCATTGTCTAGTACATATAGTGCTGCAGGGCTCAATTGATATGGAATTGAATTCATCTTGTATACCTAGCAGCATGGCAGGGGGATGATGAAGCACATGCCTCCGCCCTACGCATTATCTATACGTCAGTTTCTCAATAATTCGTCGAAGCAACTGCCAATTACGTACAGGACATGGGATGCATCCACCTCTAATCCTCTCTGCCTGTCCCGATTGCCCTGACTGCTCCGGCTGGGACTTCAGGGACATGGTCGACGCGGGCGAGGGTTGTGTTGCAACGACTGAGCCGCGAACATGTGTGCGTGCTACGGGAGGGTAAGCAACGCACTCTGAATTTGAGGAGTAGGAAGACATGGTTCTGCGAGGTCGTGCGAAAACGGTGTGTAGCGAGTATTAACGATAATCCATCGTTGTGTGGCGGGCAGTGGTTTATATGTCTGGAAAGAAAGGAGCGGGGCGATGACGTAACTGGGACCGAGAAACCACACTATGTATTACGGCTCAATGGTCTAGAGGCAAGATACTTGCTTTGGGTGTCTTCCGATTGCAAGGGATCCCGGGTTCGAATCCCGGTTGAGCCCCTTTTTGCCTGAGTGATATAGCTATATGGAGGTTTCGCGATGGCCGGCACCGGGCATGGAGCCAGGAGGTTTGCTGCTTGCGACTAAGTCATGGGACTCATTGCGTACTTTCATCATATTGACCCCATATAGATACTCTCTATATACCCTTTATTAACAGTTTACCCTACTTGACTACACGGCCTTTGTAAATCAACTTAATCCACGTAAAGAACGGTAAGCACATCCCAGTCTGGATTGTATATACACTAAATTTCAGGTCCGGTGGAGGCTGTGGAGCGCATCGTCTGCATTCAAGGTGCATAGTAGAAGCACCGTGTATGAATCGATGTGTCACCGTGATTAAGTACTGACCTCCATGATCTTGTATGCATGTAGGAACGCCAAAGTCGATGTCAACGAAGACTAACTTCATCTACCACCAAGTGATTCGAAGGTCCACACAATTACATTAATTCGAAGGAACATCCCACTGCAGCCTTATAATATAAATAATCATACGTAGATATCAGGCCGACTGACCGAAGACATTCGCGGCTATCTGTGAACATGTCCATCCGGCTATCGTATAGAAAGAGAGAAGGTTACTACAAGGGGCGATATGGCTTGATAATCAAAGGCATTTGGCTGCCTCCCTTTGGCTCGCTGATAAGGAAAGGACGCTGTACAATCGTGCTCTTCTTTTTGATGTCCGTGACCGGTACAGCCAACTCGAACTCGAAAGCACGGACGAGAGTGAAGATCAGAGCCTTCATTCTACAGACACAAGACATGAGAATGACTTCACAAAAGTGAGATATGGTGTTGCGACTTACTCGACAAGGGAGAATCGGTAACCAATGCACGAGCGAGGCCCGCCGAGGAAGCTGAGAATATGAGACCAAACGCCAGGGATGCTGCTAATTGCTTCTGGAGTATTCTCCCAACGCTCCGGCCTAGGGATCGCCATTAGCAGACAGGTCATGAAGCTGCGAGGAAGAGGCTTACTTGAATTCGTGAGCATCTTCACCCCAGAGAGCCTTGGACCTGTTGATAACCAGAATGGGAATCATAACAGGGTCTCCCTTGCTGATACTGCAGAATCGAAGAAAACGTGAGCAACGGGGCGTCAGTGCTGGTAACGCGGACTTACGGGATGCTGTCATGCACCTGGCCACGCTTGTCCGTGAACGGCTTATTGAGAGGGATAAGATCGTCTTTCGTGGCAACACGGTTTGTCATTGGTACGGGAGAATGGTATCTCATAACCTCTTTGACCACCATTTCGAGATATGGAAGTGACATGATCTCGTCCATGGTTGGGCTATCAGTCGGCATGGTCAAAAGTTCTTCACGGAGCTTTCGTTGGATATCCGGGTGTTCGGCGAGGGAGAATAAGCACCACGTGGTTGCAGAACTGGTAGTTTCATGACCAGCAACTATGAATCTGTAGCACGGTGAGCTCTCCAGAAGCATGAAACGAGCATATTGAAGATCTTACGTCGGTACCTCTATTAAGATAAATAAGCGGTCAGCGATATTTTAAGTGACGATATGAAACAGCTACTTACGGGCAAGGACTTCGTCATCAGTTAATCGTTGGCTCTCCGGAATGTCCGAAGCCATATTGGCCTTGATCAACAGAGTAAGGAGGTCACGTCCATGGACGTCTTTCCTTTCCACTCCGTCTTTAGCTGCTGAACTCTTCTCGCGGCTGTCAGCAAGAATGGCAGCCTTCTTCTCGGCTATAAGTTGGAGGCCGATCCTTCGCATGACCTTTTGAGACTGTTCAGACCGTCGATTGGCTTGAGTCCGCTGTTGTAAAAGATGTGAATATCATGAGTGTTGGGCCTGAGAGAGATGATAATTACAATCAAGCGCATAAGTGGTATTGTAGCTTGGAGGAAAAGAAATAGTCTTGGTGTGTTGGCACCGAAAGCAGCATTGAACGCCTGACTCAATTCGTTGGCGGGACCATCAGGGTTGAGAGCGTTGAATTTGTAGTTGAAACCTGAATGATGTTAGCACCGTCGAACAAGTTCAAAAGTCGACGCACGGTGATGTACCAGCAAGACCGATAATGTCCAGTGTCGCGCGGTTGAGCCACGACAGGACGTCGATTCTAAGGGGCCCGCTGGTCTTTGCAAGCTCTGCAGCCCATACATCCCGGAGCTGAAGAAAATGAGTAATGGAATACATCAGCGATAGCTTCAATTACATACCCGCACGGACTTTTCGACGAAGATCTCAGTGAGATCTCGGATTTGCGCAGGACCAAATGCTGGGTTCATGACCCTTCGCTACATTGAATTTAGTTATCAACGGCTGCATGTAAATACCATGAAGCGAAGTACCTGACGCCTATGCTGTTCGCCTTAATATTATTCAGAACCTGCAGCAGACTGTAGGGTGACTTGTGCATACCTTCAGTGACGAGCACTCCAGGACCTACGACGCGAGCCAGATGGTAACGGCCTTCTTCTGATCTTTGGTAATCCATAGAATGGGTAAGGACATGATTCAGGGCCCTGTCAAGAAATGAGTAGGGTTTAGACGATATGTCGCATAGCGTACCTAGTGTCCACGGTAAACAAGCGACGTATCTGGGAGGTGTGAGACGGAGTAATGGGAATAAGCAGCAGAACATACGTTGAAGAGACCGGAGTAAGCGATGGTATCGCCGTATTTTTCCAGCCATTCCTCGTGAAGGACAGAGTTCTCCGCATTGTTTATGGCGTTGAGGTTACCAAAGAATAAGCTATCGCTCGGAGGGCCGGGTAGCGCTCGAAGGGGTGAGAACAGAGACTTGATAACGTTAGGGAGCACCTTCCACAACGCAGCCAAGAGAACGGCCACAGAGACAGAAGCAAGGATACTAATAAACATGATACAGGAGTTGGATGAGTGGAAAGTGGCGACGGTCTGGAGAAGATGAGCATTTATATCAGCGGAGTGCGGCGAGCATCTACGCACGCCTTCTGCATCCGCGGCCGCCGTGAGAAACCGTACATCACCGAGTCGCGCAGATTCGTCACAAGTTATTCGTAGTCGGCCGCCGTCTCCACCTCAAGACATACAACCGGAAGAACATATCGCTTATATCGAGGGCCGACTCGGAGGAGCAATGTCAGCCCATAGAATATCTTGCATTCCATCCCGAGAACATCGGGGCGGCTAATATGTCCCACGTGGCTCAACCGCCCGTGAGCGACCCAACAGCGCGCCGTCCATTTCGTATCGCTTCACCAGACAGCTCTGCCTGCTCGACGCCGGCAGCATGGAGCAGTACACAGACCTGGAAACTGGCGAGGAATACAAGGGTATCCATCCTACAATCAGCGAAGGGCCAGAGTCCGAACACTCGGCTCTTCTTCCCAGCGAGAAACACGAAGACTTCGAGGACGTCCATGCGCTGCAACCACAACCACAGAGACAGCACCTGAGTCGTCTCTGCGGCCCACGAATCTATCTGGTCTTGGCCTTCGTAGCCGGTATAGCGTCGTGTCTTCTTGTACAGCTAATCATTTGCGCTTCTCGAGGAGATAAAAACTCCGCAAACTCCGGCGTTCACCCAGACCAAGAGGTCGAAGTCTATGCTCCTCCATATGCTGGCTCAAGCGAAATCCATAATTTCCCACCTGCTTCTCCTACCAATGTTTTCCCCTCCTTGTTCCCGACCAACGTTGGGCACGCTGGGCCAACCCCTACGGGAGCTGAACCAGCCTTGATTGCGACCGCACCCTCTTATCCTGTGCACACTGGAGCGCCCCATCTTGTCTCGCCCCATAAAGCAGGCAATAAAACCGTCTCGTCGCATTTTGACCTCTTCCAGCATTGGGGAAATCTCTCGCCGTGGTTTAGCGTTCGGCATGGTGCATTCGGTTTGAAGTCTAGTCCTGAAGCACCTGATACTTGCCAAATTACCGGCCTACATTTGCTTCATCGCCATGGCGCACGGTATCCCACTCAATACGGTCAGCTATCTCTGATTGTATACCTCTCCCCAGTTCTCATACCTTGTGAATGAGCCAGCGTCATATGGCGGGCCTGCGAACTTCTCTGCCCGCCTCAATCAAGCTGCTGCGGGTTGGAATGCAAGTGGGGACCTGGAATTTATGAACACCTGGTTCGTCTTAATCTATACCTAGGCGCATTTTTCTAATTGTCTGTGAAGGACATACAAACTCGGAGAAGAAGGTACCAATTGATCGTCTCTCAGCCTGTTGATGATACTAACAG